TAAATTGAAAAAAGTACGTGGAAAAGATAACTAAAATATTATTCAATTACAAATACTCGCGGTAAACTAATACAGCAGCCATGTTTGATGTTTATTACCGCTTTCCGAATTCAGTACACGAACACCCAGGAATGCGCTGTTCCCCTGTGCAACTTAGATACTAAATCGTTACAGCGCCAACAGCGGTGGGTAGCAGACGGTCGTTGAATGGGGTAGGCCAAAATGTCATCAGTTTGCCTTCTCCATGCTGTTTTCACAATGAAAATCGAGCGAACGTTGTAAATACGGCTAGAATTTAAATTTTCGTTTGAGTTTACATGCAATCTGCTAATATATTTGTTTATTTTCTGTGCATATACATTTCGTTCGTATTTACTTCTTTCTTTCGTGATCGGAAGACGATTATTAAAAATACAGCTGTAAATTGAAACCACTGTAGTTGCGTATCGTGAGCAATAAGTGGCAACAATGTCGGGCGACAATGAATTCAGGCGATTGACACATTGCCATAAATACACTTGATAACTGCTTGCAGACTTCCAGTGGTCATTGTTTATGTTTGGACTCTTGAAACAATAGCAAAATAAAGGGTTGGGCAACTACTCTTTTGTTTAGGCTTGGGAAGAACAATGCAAGCTTTTTACAAATAATTTCAGCTGGATGTACGTTGGTGGGCGGGTGTTGAGAGTTACTGGGCGGCCGTAAAACTTGATGGGCGGGCCGCCCGCCAAAAACCCATTGTGGAGAACACTGAAGCCAGCTAAGATTTTCTGTTATCTTGCATGTTCTATGAATCTATTCACGTCTAAATGCAGCACTTTTTTTTGTGATGAGGCATTTGTTTTTATACTAAAATATCTGAATTACTTTGAATAAAGCTGGAAATTATGTCCCTTAAAATAATTAAACAAATAAGGCACCAATGTTTTTGTAAGATATTTACATCTTTTAAGGACATTTGGTAGACTGATTCCCCACTGTTGGTTCAACCCCAAAACTTGTTTGTATTCAAAATTAATTATGACAATGCATATTTATATTGAAACAAACTATGATAAAGGGAATTATATTATATAACAAAGGGCAAGGTCACCAGAGTTCAACTATGTTTAATATTTTGATTGGAACAATGATCATGCGACTCTTATTAAACTTGCGTAGTTGATGCCCCTTTGAATACAAAAAACAAATATTTCACAAAATAAAACATCCATAATTTTTTTTTCAAAAATTGTGTTCAAAACTTGTATCCAATGAGAAGTTGCCTATTTTAGTCCATCCAAAATCATCAAAAAAAATTACATAAAAACAGACACAAAAAAAATAGTGCCCAAAGGCATAGTCAGGTGCTACAATGTACACTTAGCCTTCATGTTAACTTAATGCCTCAAACTATTGGTATACATAAATCTAGGGAGTTACAGCTCTCGGGGGGGGGGGGGGATTGGACCAAATATTTTACTTTTATTCTTTGATGTAAATACATGTGTGCATCTCATTTTGTGATAATACTTTCATGGTCTCAGACTCTTCAATTCACATAGGTTGCCAGTGGTAATCCCATGCCTTCTTGTCCATGCTAAATTACAGGAGATCACGTTTATAACAATATAATTTTGAATTGTTTTCAGACTTTGCTGACGATTTCAGACTGTCAGATTCACCAACCAACAAAGAGACATTACCATTTACATTACAAGATCTTAACAGACAGAATGTAGAACTTATAAATGACAGTGTATCATGCAAGGTGAGTTACAATGTGACATAAGTGTAACAAACAAGTAATGAATATTAAAAGAAGACAGTTTTGTTCTCTTCAGTCAAATCTCTAAAGCGTTATGGTCTTGTGTTGCTTGGACTCGGCTTTCGATGCTTGCCTTCTTTCTGTCTGCGACATTTGAAATTTGATCAGTGTTGCTTAATATTGCTTTGTTTACAAATACCATTTTCGTCTGGCACGAATGAATTCACATTGAAACAAAAAATTACTGTAGATTGAGGCAGGCATGAATTTAACTACAGATTAACAGGCTGACAAAAAATGAAACAAACCCTGACCTTTGGAAATCATTAATTTTGTGAATTTCATTTTTGCATCATTTTCTTCTTCTTCCTTCTCCAGAGATATCCTGAACTTATTTTGACAGAGGAAGAAAAGAGATTACTTTCTGATATGAACACTGTTCTACCAGTTGACATGCCTTTAACAAAGGTGAGCACTTGTCAATAAACTATTTCAGATAGAATGGAGTAGTTGTAAAGAATTCATCACATGGTTTCAGTGAGTGCAGGAATTATGCTACATTTTATTAACACTATACATCAGAGACTAAATTTTAGGTGCCCTCGTTCTTGGAGAAATATTGTCTTCCCGATATCCATCAACAATAATCCTCCACGATTAAAAAATGTATAAAAGTTTTAATCTATATGTTAATATTACAATCAAAATCAATATAATTTTATATTAGAAATATGTATAAACTGCATTCATTGCATGCTTGATTATTGTCAATGACTTATTTTGATCAGACACGCCTGTTATTCAAGAAAGCTACGGTAGATTTGATTTTATGTTCTGTTTTGTGTCACAAGAGTCTTTCTTTTTCATAGGAGGAAGAAAGAACATTAAAAGCAGTCAGGAGGAAAATTAGGAACAAGGTAATATTATTTATACTAGTATTCTTGTGTATTTGTGTATTCAGTTTGGTTGTTGACCTGTGGAACACCAAAGCTTTTCATTAAATCAACAATATCAGTATATTGTTACTTATGCTGTGCTTTGGTTTCCTGAATTATTTAAAACAATCTGGGTTTTGAAAAGTTATAAAACATACTAAAACATCGAGCTCTATGGAATTGTTCTAAACAAAGCAATTTTTGAAAAATGTTTGGCCAATTTCTGTAAAAAATATTGTGTGTAACACGCAACAGAATTCTGTTTTGCGTTACCATAGAACTATATCTGCATAACTACATAATTATCCAATGCACATTGTTATGATATATGACCAACTTTTCAAAAAATATTAGGTTTCTACATCAACCAAAAAATGATAGAAAGAGTTCATTATTTTTCAGCAATCTGCCCAAGATAGTAGGAAACGCAAGAAAGAATACGTTGATGGTCTAGAGCACAGAGTTTCAGCATGTACAAAACAAAATATAGAGTTACAGAGGAAAGTTGAAAGGCTTGAGAAGCAGAATGTGTAAGTATGGTAATTTATTCAGAAAACATTTATGTATTTATGAACATATTCTGAACGGGAATTAAATACGTGGGTGGAATTTTTCCATCAGTTTAGAAAATATGAGAAAATTACCCATCCATGTGAAACTAGACAGTATTTTCTCTTATAGTGGAGACAGTGTACTCAAATGTTGATTATGTTCAAATTTTATTCTGCACTTAGAAATTGTATTTTTCTACATTTTGATGAAACAATTTGTCTTGTGAGAGTAAAAAACCTGGGATAACAAATTTAACCATGCGGCAAATGTTTCATGTCCTGTATCTGCTGAGAACACTGAATGATGTACCATATTTCACTTACCCCGGTACCTGTCTAATGCACTGTTTGAACAGTCACCCAATTTTATTGACATCTCACAATACTAGTATTAACGTTTTGAATAAAATCTGTAGGTAACAGGATATTAGATCTATTTGGTCCAAAATTAACTTAAAAATTTTAGAAAAATACCAAAAATAGTATAAAATGATGCAGGAAAAATATAAAGGGTTAATGGTAACAACTGTATGTCGAGAACAATCATTGGTACCCCCTAACTTTATGTTAAAATAACAATTATTGCTTGTTTCTACTATTCAGTGTGTTGAACTTTTTAAATATACTCCTAGATGGGACACCTTGGCCTACTTGGTGGTAGTCCTCTGTCACCCAATGTTCATAAGCTTTACTAGCATGCGACATTGCACTTGTATGAGCATCTTTGTCACGGAATAGTCTTAAAATCATCTGCGAAGCAGTACTTATTCTGTATGTTGGGTTTACTTGATGACTTGATTTAATGTCAGTGCTGGAAACACATTATGGTATCAGTGATTAGCACGAGATCTGCTAGGATGTACATTGTATTTGATGCAGTGTTTTTATTATGATTCACAGGACACTTGTTGAGCAACTAAAAAGACTTCAGGCTTTGATCACAAAAACCAGCAATAAAACTACACAAACAAGCACATGTGTTATGGTATGTATATATTATTCATATTTACTGTAACTTTAGTTGATAAAATATTTAATGATGCCTACATTAAAGGCTAGATGCAAATTCCTGATCAAATTTACCCCTTCCTCCCAAGCCAGCATGGGAGTGAGGTTTACTGTAATGTATGTCATTTATCCTGAACGATCAAATTTGTTTGAGTTGACAAATATCGAAGCAAAAAATACGGAAAACATCTGTGGTTTTTCAATAAATTCAGATTATGATTTATTGTAAAAATAAAAATGCTGTGATTACAGCTCATAAAATAATATTGAATTCATGAAAGATACCAGTAATTTAGCTTGCATATAACGTTTCAGCAAACCAATATGATAACTCGCATGACATGAACATTTTAAAATTTACAATAAATAAATATATTCAATATTGGTGCTCTGTTAGTTTCCATCCTATTTCAAATTACCATATTTAATGTGTAATATTAGATTGAGGTTTGAGCTATGAAGACCAACTCTGTAACCTTGTACTGTACCCTGTTACATGTATAGTTAAAAATAGAAACATGAAAAAAAACCCTGATGTTTGTGTTTGACCCACTGATATCAGGGTTACCATGGATACTAAACTGTCACAATCTGCTGTTATGATATGCATGCTATATTTTAATACTAAAATAGAACACCATCTGCTGCACTCCATGATTTTTTTTTTTTGCCAAACTGAAGCTATAAATTCATGGTAACTATAAATTAAATTACAATAATAAATTTGTGACCACTTATGTTAATATTAATCAAGACAAAAAATGTAGTTGGCATTGCTGATGAAAAATCAGTTACTGTATTTGCTCCATTTTTAGCACATTTGCATTTTGTTGTATGAAGTCTTTGACAAATTTACTTTTCTTGTAGGTGTTATTGCTTTCCTTTGCATTGTTAGTGGTACCAAGCTATAATCCTTTTAAAAGTTCATCAACTGGTCCAACACCACCAACTTACTCGCCATCAGGAGGTATGTATTCAATATGTTGTTAGGGTTGTCACATAAAATGAATACTTTATTTTCGCTGGAATTGATTTTCGCTGAAAAGGCTATTTGGGTGTTTTGTATGGAATTTATTGCTGGGAAAGGATTGAATTCCAAGCGGATATAAAGTATATTCGCGTGTTCTATGTTTGATAGGAATCCCATCCGACAAATGCATTCATTGCTTTCACAATTTGTAGCAACATTCGCAATTTAATACAATTTAAAATCATTTTGCGATTTGGTATTGCTGGGCATAAATGAGAAAACAAATTTCACGAAATTCACAAATTTTCACTGCTATATAAATTTCGGAATATCTCTTTTGCAATGATATTACCGCTAATGCTTTTTCTGTGAGTGTACATTATTGGATACGTGCACTTGTATTCATATTACGATAATTGTACAATGAAAATATATTGGGACTGTGCCATGTCAAATAATATACTGAGTAACAGCTGTGGTGGGAAATCCTGATGATAGAAAATAATTGAATGAGCAACTTATTAGAGGAGGAGCACAACGTGTACACACTCGTACTACTGACAGGATTTTCTGTTTTCAGTTAACATGTACCACATTTTCTCTATTACAAACGTTTCTCTAATTAAAGTGTACATCATTCAAAAATTGTGTTTAATGCTGGATCCATGCTATCGAGTAATGGCGTTAGCGGCCCCACATTTGTCTCGATATGTGACTGACTGGTTGATAAAGCTAGCATGTATGAATTAAAAAAAAAGATGTGAAAAAAAATATTAGACAAATTTGTTGTGTGAAGTCTGGAAGTAGTATGTAACCCTGCTATGTTCAAGTTTTTTCTCCCTTCTTCAAGTGACAGATACTGCCTATTATGTTGATTGTATATTATTTACCCGCATGTTTTATTTATTTCCAATAGTTGTAATGCGGACATTGAAAGAGGATGGAAGTCAGCCAGTGACTGAAACTATGATGGTGGGTGGTGACCCTTATAGCTATACTAAAAGCCCTGAAGGGGAGTGGAAAGCCGAACAACCTAAAAGTGTTGTCGAAATGATTCAAGACATTTCTGTTGATGAGACTATACAGGACATCCATAGAAAAAACAGTAGTGCCAGAAATGTACCTGTCGAAAATGGTGGTGGTGTGGTGATGAATGAAGCTGTACCGATAGCCGATGAAAATCTAAGAGTAGAAGGCATGATTAACACACCAGATGGAGTGGTCAAAATAAATGGGGGTGATGTTAGTGTGACAAGTAAGAAAAAGAACAACGTGCATCCTCCGATAAAACAGCATCCAGCCATCAATGATGAAATGTGATATGGTGTTCATGATTAAATGAATAAACTTGACAACGAGGGTCTCATTGTGTTCTCTGCTTGGGGTACAGTTTATTTGCCATACATTCTACATTATTTGTGGTAGTCATGGTGAATTGTTATCAGACACTATATTGAACTGACAGTGGAATAAAATATATATTTATACTTACAGATTTCATGTGTTCATGTAAACTTGCCTTTTTGATTTTTCGATCTGTTAAAAGATGAAATACTTTTCATTTTTGCTGATTTCCAGTTTCAGCTGGTTATGGTTTGTTGTCAGAATGTATCGGTACCTTTTTAGTTTCTTTCATTTGTAAAATTTCATTTTAATTCCACATGTATTTTTATGAAATTATCAACAACTGAAGTTGTCACACAACACCATAGAGTTCAACATCAGTAATTCTCTACATATTTTTTTATGTACAAATTATCTCAAAGCCTGATGTTTGTGTTTAAAAAAAAAAAAAAAAATTCTGAACCGTATTCGTCTAGCCCAATAATGATCGCATGAACTATGTTTGGAATGTGGGAAGGTTATCTGTGGTAGGTTTTTATCTCCCAAAATGGGGGAAAGTCACCCTCTAAGAAATTGATTGCCAGTAAAAATCAATTGCAACATGCAATGCTGTTGGGCCAGTTCAGAAGTGTACATTATTAAAACTGTACGCAGATTGTTTTAAAACAAGTCTTTTTTTTGAAAGACTATAATCTTCTCTGCATTTTGATTCACTTTTCATTCACTCTACTATTTTAGTTTTTCTTGATGATTTGTGTAAATGCATTTTCAAATCTTTATCTCAATTTGCTTGAAAAACGAGCACAAGTTAAGGAAGCTTAGTTATGAAATAACTACCCAGATTTTTCTGGGTTGGGGAAATCTGCACATTTGAATAATTATATATATATTATTTTATCTTGTGTATGTCAGTTTGTGGAAGTCATACTTGTAAATATGTTGAATGTAATATTTTTAAAAATAAAAAAAAACATTTATTGAAATGCTCAATACATTGTATCATGTTTGCTCTGTAGCTGATATTTAATCCTTTATTTATCAGAATTCATTAATGGTGGTATAAGTGCATGGTTCTGAAATGATCTGTTTATTCCACAGCACTCGAGTGAATATTGTACAAACACTCCAAGTTTTGTTGATGTCATCTTCAAGAATTTAGTACTAGTAAATTGGCCATTTTTTTGTTGAAAATCAGTTAACAATAATTGCTGATCTTGAGTTCAGGTTTTTTTTAAGACTGACAGCACATCTCTCTTGTATCAGAGATTGAATAATGCATGTACCATGTATACAACTAGTTATGTAGACTGGGTGTATGAACAGTTTGCCAAAAAGCTGAAACTCAATTGTCTCGAGGTCTTAAAGTTGCATCTTGCCTTTGGAAATCTGTGAAGTAAGCAATGTATACACCATCAAATGTAGAGATTGTGGATGTGTAATAAAAAATGAATTAGTGTTCCTTCAAAATTAAGCTAAATTTTTGAATAGTACAGGGTCTGTGGTTGCATTGTAGGTAATTTTTTGTTTAGATGCCACACCAGCTCTAATGCTACCCTCATGAATGAATGAATAAGATAAGATAACAGCTTTATTACAACCGTGTAGAAAATTTTACATTTCTAATTTGGTGTTTAAAATGTAATAAAGTTAATAATGAATAACTAAAAATAAGTTAGTAAGGATATTTTATTTTGTAGCTTACTACGCATAAGACATTTAATGTGTAAGTTTGTTCTGGGAGTTATGTTTTTAAATCTTTTGGCATGCCCAGTTTTTGGCTGTGTAATGCTTGTTCTCTTCAGGCTATATACCCCACTTTATACGTGTGTATGCTTTTTTCAAATAAACTGAAACCGTCTTATTCACAGCAAATAGTCCTTGAAAAGAAAAAAAGAAATTATCACAGCCAACATCGCTTTTTATTACAACTGTCGTTTTCATCGGCGATATTTTATTATCCAAATAATTTTTTTCCGGAGTGAACATGTGACACCACGTACATATCAATAAAAATATATTTCCCATGATGCTTTGTTCAGTTGCTATGACGTCACTTGAAGCCATCTTGGATGCCTGTGTTTTGATTTTGTGATATATCGAGGTTGCCGGTTGTCACTCAAAATACGGAGATGTACTGATCGTATTGTAATCTTTATATCTGTGAGTGATATTTGAGAATGGGAAACGGAGCTAGTAGCAATGTGAAATCAATCAAACTCAAACAGAATCGACGGAGCCTTCAAGATCTCCACGAAGTTCGAGAAAGGTGAGTAGACTCGAAGTTCGAACCAAAACATATTAACGATTTGCATCGCCTAGCGATTTTGATCGCCAAATAATCAATCAAAACCTGATGTCTACCTTCTCAAACAATCTAAATTGTGTTTAAGTTTAACTGTAAACAGCAGACTGCCATTATTTTGCTGCGATAAAAACAGCGCCCTCGCGCGGACGAGTCTGTTGTCCATAGATTTATGTTTTGCAGCAAACCCCCAATCTTTTTTTATCTTCTTTGCCTTGGGGTGGGGGACATTAAGACCCGATTTATATGTGGCGTTAACAAACTCATCCTTCGTTGGAAAATTTGTATTTATCTGTCATTCAAAGTCACTGTCACTGACCATAGAAGCAAAATATCACCAGTAGCTTTTTTTTGCATCGTACTCATGATCATAGTAAATAGTGTTTGGTCTCACAGGTAAATCCCCAGTACCATGTAGAGTGGGATAAGTTGTCACTACTACAGCTGGTTGTCTCTTTCAAAATATCGATAACATTTAATTCAACGTTTCGCCCTAAAACTAAGGTTTCATTCGGTCAGGATAAATGCTAAATAACTGTATACCCGGTACATACTCATAATCGGTAGACTAGAGTTTCAATTTTACCTTGGTTGTACACCAAAAAAGGTCAACTCCAACTCTGAGTGAGTGTGCCACAAACCAATTGGAAAGGCCAAATCCACTGGCAAGATTCATTCTCTAAAGAATGTAATTTTGATGGAACATTGGTTCATGGAGGTAAAAAGAGATCTCTTTTTACCTCCATGATTGGTTAAAGTCCTCTAGTGCTTGTGTTTGACTGGGCTTGGTTGACACCAGGATAGCACTTTAAATTGCCAATTTAATATGCTAGGAAGATAGTCACACACAGCCCTGTTGTATAGTCTGAATCCTGCTGTTTCTGTGGCAAAATGCACTCTATGTCACCACTTGCAAAATAGACACAAAAATATTCAAACAAAAAACACTGTCAAACTTAAGGGAAGAGTTAGTGACCAGTAAAACTTTTGGCGGGTACCTAGGCTGTTATTTTTGATACTGCATTTAGTACTGTAAAATCTATTTTAGAAGCCACGGCTTCTATTAAAATGGTACAATGCAATGGAAGGGATGTGGCTTCTATTAGAGCATCTACACATATGAGAAATGGTGAATTTTTGGTTCTCAATTGTTCAAAAAGAATGGGTGCGGCTTCTATTAGCGATGGGGCTTCTAGTACAGATTTTACGGTACTAGCTATTATTGAAATACTGAATTAACTGATTTCTAGCCCTTTTTAAAATTTCTATTAATATTCACTATATCTTGTGTTGACTATTCTATTTTTATAGGAGATCCAATTCCGATGGATATATTGTGGATAATCTTAATTCCAGTAAATCGAAGGTGAGATGTAATCAATATTCTGTCAATAAACAGAATAATAATAGTTAGCCACCCTGTGACTCATGTATGGAAAAACACATTCTAACTTCACTCATATTTCATTACACTGTAAACTGTATTATGCTCATCTACTATAAAACTTCTTCCCTACATTGCTGAAAAGTGAAAATTACAGTTAATACTTTCACAGAAATAAACAATATATATGTTTATGCCTGGTTACTACTGTATATTGTTAGAATTTTGCTGCCAGTAATCCTTGGGTAATAGCGAGGGAGTCGTCACCTGCGAATGCGTCAGATGGCCATAGCGTGTCATTGTTTACAAACAAGCGTCTCTCTATGAACCTTTGCATTTTTAGCTTGTGTTGTTATCGTCGCTTGGGACTCAATTCCCGCATGTGCGCAGGTGACAACCCTCCCGCTTTAATTGTGATGGCATTATTTCCTAGAATCTTACTGTTGTAAATATAATTATATAATTGTAGTTTAGTTTCTACATACATGTACAGCACTGATATTTGGCTATACAGTTTTTCAACCCAAGAGATGCTCAGTACTGGTACCTCTATTGGATGTCATTATTCCTCCTTGAAAATCCCCTCACTTGTAAATTGTTTGTTTTTTCACTCATTTTGCTTTGCTTTCATCTATGCAGCACAATAAAAGATTTTGTTATTAATTTTAATAGGTGGATATGTTGCAACTGCAATTGAAAGAATGTCAACAGTTGTTGTCAGAAACTGAAGAGAGAGCTGAGAAGGCGGAGGAGAAAGCTAAGACTGTTGAAGAACAGGTACGACACCAGCTGACAATGTGTCTGGACATCAAATACACTAAAATTACCCCAAAAATATTTCAATGGCGATAGATACACCATTAATATGGCACAGAAACCTTCCAATATGCCGTTTCCAGGTCGATCCGCCCTTCCACACCTATCCCCCCGCTTGGCCACTCCACTCCCTCGCCGGTGTGTGCTCCCTCTTGTTAATTTTTTCCAGAAAAACCCCTGACGATATCAGAAGACAAATGGTTTTTAATAAAAGGTTGAGATAAAAAAAAAAGTGGCTTGTTCTTTCCACCATTCTGTCTGATTGATAGTATATTCAGGGTTATTGTTGGTCTGGAACTGTGATATATTTCATCACACAATTACCATCTTTTGTTTACAGTGTGTCTGTGCTGTCTATGATTCAGTATACAATAAAAGCAATTTTAGTTGCCTATCGGTGTATTTGATATGCACTTCTAATATATGGTTTATGCAATATGATTGTGCAACATACCCCCGTAGTAAGTATGAGCAAACTGAGTGATGTACATTACACTGATTCACTGTCTACTCATAACCCTTAGGGTCTATGGTCTAATTAATATTCATGAATAAATTAGTGACCCTATATCTAAAGGCCACCTGGCTATAAAGGCAAAAATCTCAAAGTCCCTTGGGTTTGTTTGTTTGCTAGTCGTTTCAAGTGTTGCTTTCCTATTATTGTAGATGGCTGAAGTGGAAGGTGAAAACTTTGAGTTAATTGATAAAGTTGCAGCCCTGGGAGACGAAATTGAAGTTTTACGAAGAGATGCAAATCAAGATGATTTTACAGGAACTGTAATGGCTAAGGATCAGGTATGTATTGTACACACATCTATTGAATAATAGTTGATATTATTACTGTTGTTGGTGAAGTAAACCTAAATTAGCCTAGTTTTACTCCAAAAATTTCAGTTCATTCTCTGAATTGCACACTTTTGAATTCTTGATGCCCGATGCTGCCAAGACCATGTATTAGATCTCTTATATATGTAGATCTCATGTGACTGGAAGTATATGTAAAACGTGCGTCCAATCAGAGTTGGTGTAGTATATATAGCAATGAACATTAAACAAATGGCGAGAATAAGATGTATGAATTCACTGAAAAGAGCACACTTTACTACACTGTCATTGTACAGGTACCGCCTAGGTGTTGTGGTGATAGCCAAATAAATCTCCATTGGCTGATGAAGATGATTTCGGTGATGTGAAGCATGGAATGCAAGATACGCCTGCAACTTGCCCAGTATTTTGACAATCCATATTATTCAAACCTTTTGTAATTTTAATTTGGATGCATTCTTGGCATGTAATACTTTTATAATAAGAGTTCTTGCATATTAATACACATATAATAAATTTAATTTTTCATGTTTTTTTTAGAGCATTGAAAAGCTGGAGAAAGAAAACAAAGATTTACAAGTTGATCTCAAGAAGTTGGTAAGTGTAGGATTGGATATGGTAAAGAAAAAGAAAAATTAATTCTATAAACTTGAAAAACTGGTTTTGTCGTCCTTCGCAAAATGAAGTTTCCCATAGTTTTCAGACAATTTTATCAAGAACACCACCTATTGGAAATTGTAAAAAATATTGAAAATGTTTTTTAAAAATGCATCAAAATGTTTGTGGGATGAAATACGACTGGTGGGTTAACAACCAATAAGTTTGTCTGTCTTATTGCTGTGTGTTTGATATTTCTAATCATTTTGTTGAGTCAAAGACACTGGTTGGGTCATGTTTTTATTTGTCATTATGAATACTTTTCCCATAATCACTGTACCACAATCGTCTTAAATTTTAGTGTTCAGCAATACCTATGTTAATATACTGTACACTATTCATGACATGCTATGTGAAATGACAGTCCAAACTTCCCACAACAAATTAGGCAAACCACTTGATGATAACACAGCACAACCACTTTTTTATTTGTGCATCCTGAGCTGCTATTACTGACAGGCTGTGATACTGCATATGGTGTAATTATGTCAAAGTTGATTAAAACATGACGTGTTCTTTTACAGAGACTGAAGGCCAAGAAAAGAATAAAAAGTATTCAGACAGAATTAGCGGAGACTAAACAGGAATCTTCTTTGAAGATCTACAGCTTGAAGCAGGATATATCCCGAATTGAGGAAGAGAATGCGAAACTGACACGTAAGTGAAATATTGCTAATGCAGCAAAACATGTATTTATTGATTGGACATTTTTAGACAGGATTTGTCTTTATAATAGTGTTCTACCAAATGGGGTGTAGATTCAATGACACTTTCAGTGAAAGAGACTTGAAAAAATTGTAAATTTATGTAAAAAGTACTGATTATTATTATTTTTTTTTCATCAACTAACTTTTTAGAACGACTTGATAGAGCCTGTTCAGCTTCAAAATCAAGACAGTTCAGTTCAGAGAAGAAAGATGATGAACCAGAATGGGAAGACAGCAGAACTAAATTAATTTTAGAGCTATCCAACCAAGTATCCACACTGGATGATAAAATTAACCAACTTGAAGATGAACTTGAAGCAAAGGAGAAAATCATACAAGAATTGCAAAAGTTGCATTTACGGCCGCCGAGTGGAACTAGGAAAGGTTCCTCATCAAAAGGTTTGAAAGACGCTCATCAGACTGACTCTAACAGGCCAGGAAGTGGACATGCTGATGCTCTGAAACAGAGAGTGTCGTCTGCTGGCAGTATAGATAGTGTTGAATCAAGGGAAAACATTAGACCTGATCTTGATTCAGGTATAGGGTTAGATGAGAGCACTGCCGCTAGCAGGTTGTCCTCTGCCCCACCTAGAATGACTGCCGAATCTGAGACGCAGAGTCGATCAGCTGTGAATGAAGCTGTCAGTTCTAGTCGCCGACGACGGAGTAATAAAATACAGAAACATTCATCTGTAGATGTATCAGACATTGAAAGAACAAGAAAGCAATCAGAAATAAACTCAAGATTTTTTGATTCGGTCAACGATGCTCAAAAAGATTTGCCATCGGCAGATGTCCACTCTGAAAGTAGAGTGAATAGTGGAGGAGCTAGGAGGAAAAACCTGAAAGCAAAACAGGCTTTTACATCTGAGCAAATCTCAGGGGATTCTATGAGGACTCAACAACAATACACTGAAAAATCAAAGCCTAAAATTGCAGCAAACTTCTCGCAACCAGACGAGTTGGATGATTTACTTCATGACATTGATAGTGTGGGTTACAGTGACGAACATCTGAAAAAGAGAAAAAAAAGATCAAAATATAAATCTCCATCCTCCTCTGGGGATCAGAAAGTATGCATAGATGTTACCGTGGATTTGGAGCCTTCGATACAAGGAATATCAGTGCCATGATTTTGAGATGGCTGGTGCCATGATTTCAAAAGTATCATTTCCATGATTTCACAATATCAGTGCCGCAATTTCAAGATATTGGTGCCATGGTTTCAAGGTATTATTACCATGATTTCACAATACCAGTGCTATGATCTCAAGATATCGGTGCCATGATTCGGAGCATTTAAGCTCCATCCATATTTTTTTTGGTAGCATATTTTGTATTTTTATGTTTTACATAGCTACAAACACAATCATATTCTATGCACTTGTATTTGAGTTTAGTGGCAATCAAAAGAAGTTTAAAATGTGTATTGTCTGCTAAATTTTCTTGAAAACCTATGAAGTATTTTGGGCTGTGAACCACATTCAGCAGTTTCACTAGTTATACTTGTATGGTCATATGCATCAATCGAACATAGTTCTAAGCAAAAGTGTCCTAAAACCCAAAGAATGCTTGCATGAACAGAAATAAACGAGATTATCACCACATTCAAAAAAGCAAAAAAAACGTGTCTGAGATGAACACAAACCAGTGCTTTCATAGATTCACAAATTTGCATTCGGAATTCAAGAAATGTAGGTTCCCCTTGCAATTTTTTGGATTATATTGCAATTTGTGTTTCTTCTTGGTATTTCATACGTCAAGAAGAATTTCCAATAAAATACAGCTTTAAAAAAAAATGTTGAGAGATAAAATAGTGTTCCATTTTCAGGTTGTAGTAGATTTAAGTGCAATTGATGCTAACCTTTTGTGAAGAGGTAAAATACCGATGGTGTGAATAAATATAATAATATATTTACCTTTGATACTGTAATCTGTATGTGGTTAATGTCATGCAGATCTACAGCTAGCATGTATGTTTTTTTTTTCATTATTGAGTTTTTAATAAAAAGTTCACTATGAAAAACAATAGGTAGGGTATATATATATATCGGTAAATTATTTAAATGTGTATTCTATTGCAGTATGTACAGAAAAAAATCCATCCTTGTTTAAACACGGTGAATTACCACTCTACCAGAAGAGACTTTTTGCTGTGTATGAATGGTAGAAAGATGCTTGGTTGTCTTGGCAACATGCTATGCTGGCAGAAAAGCATTTGTTTTAAAATGAAGTATTTATAAATTATGCTCCTCACATGTGATTCATTTCTAAGAATTAAAAAATCTGATAATCTTTTTTTCTCACTCTGTTAACTTTTCAAATTTCTGTAATATAAAGTGATAACTCAATCTCCTGTTTAATTATAATTAATGAGAATTAATTCACTACATTCAATTACCCACCATAGACTCCGGTCAGTCAAAATGACTATTTTGAACTGTAGGCATTAATCAGCGATTCTGCCGATAGAATCCAGGTCAGGGGAAGCCCCATGACCTCAAGATTCTTTTACCCCTTACGTCACGAACCCACGTGACCGAGGCCACCTGGCAGCGCCACAGGTAGCCGTCCTTCACTCTTAATTTCTCTCTGCCTCGAGTGGAGATGAAATCTAGTGAGCTCTGCTGGATCGCCTGCTTTTTTTCCTGTCCGGATTTATAGCTTGGGTTGTTGCCGCTGCTCGGCATCCGACATGGTAGCTGGTAGGATAAGTTTTCCTTGTCTTTTTTTACCCTCGTGTTGTTTTCCCCTTT